ACTGGTCTGTAAGTATAAAATTATATGCCTGGGAGTGGTGGCTCACACCTGTAATCCTAGCACTTGGGAGGCTGAGGCAGGAGGATTGCCATAAGTTTGAGGTCAATCTGGCCTACTAGTGAGTTGAAGGCCAGCCTGAACTGCACAGTGAGACCCTGTCTAAAATATATGTGCAAAGAAAAATAAAATAAAATAATAAAATGTATGTACACATGCATGTATAGTATATGTATATGTGTCTACATGTGTGTAATATATTTTTTTGGTGATACCTGAGATTGAACTAGGGGCTTACACACTAGGAAAGTACTCCACCACTGAGTTATCTCCCAGGCTCTTTGTCTTTGTTATTTTAACTCAAGCATGGGTGGCACACGTCTATTTAGACAGTTGGTCCCATTGCTAAATAGAAACAATAGGAGTACTAGTTCTTTCCTCTGTGCCAATTCAATTCTAAGGGCTTGGAGTGGATTATCTCATTTCACCCTCTGGATGACCCTTCAGAGTAAGTACACCTGTCTTCCCCATTTTACAGATAAGCAAAGAGATAAAGAACTAAATAAAAAGACCCCGGCCAATGGCAGTCTTTCAGCTAGTGGGGTCTTTATGTGATCCTGATTTCTGGGGGCTCTCTGGGCCCTTTCAGTTCCATTCTGCTTGGGCAGGCTCTGGTGTAGGGAACCAGCCTTAATCTTCTGCATGCGGGTCTTTCAGAGTCTACATTTAGAGCCTGACAGAGGCCTGAGACACTCCCACGCGGGCAGCACCATCCTTGGAAACCAGGTTTGTCCAACTGCAACCTAGCTCTTCTCCAGACATTTCAGCCACTCAGCCCAGTGCTGGTCAAACTATTTGCTTGTTAAATTAATTGGTTTTCCCAGCACTGGGAGCAGGAAGGATCCAAATCAACCATAATTAGAGCACCTTTCCAGTGAGTGTGAGGAAAATACAGAGCAGTCATGCTGCCCAGGCTGTCTGGAGCCTCAATCCGGGCTCCTGCAACTTGACCCAGTCTGCTGTGAGAAGCTCTGACCTGAGGGAAGTTTGGTGGAAAATAAGCGGGAACCAGGTTCTATCCCAAGTGATAGTAACTGCTTAGAAATCTTACACGTAAGAGACACCCGCAAGTGGAGAGGTAGCAAGGAATGAACTGGGAAGGATTAACACAGCTCTCTTTACATATCTATAAATATGAAAATGAAAACAATATAGGATTAAAGGGATTTTTTCTTCAGTGTTTTAACAACAAAGACAAAACCCGAAAGACTTTTTACCACTACGGTTCACCCCAGTTCACCCCCTCCTTCCCCAGAATATCTAGATTTTGATGATAAGTCACATGGATTAAAGAGCAAAAAAGAACAAAAAGCCAGGCATAGTGGCACCTGCTTGTAATCCCAGCATTTCGGGAGCCAGAGACAAGAGTATCAGAACTGGAGAAAGACAAGCGGGAAATGAATACAAAGATAATTAAGATGTGTGAAGTACATGTACCAACTCCCCACAATGAATGCAACCATTATACAAAGATATGCTAATAAAATTTTTAAAAAACAAAACCAAAAAAGTACAGCCCAGCCTGGGCAGCTTAGCTACTTAGGGGCTGGGGAAGAGAGGAGATCATAAAGTAGCTTCTGATTTGCCCTGGGCAATGCTTTATTTTGAATCAACGCTCTTCCTGACCATTGGTCTTTGGAATCCCAAGCGTGTTCTGTCCTGTTCGTTATACAGTCCGATACCTGAGGAAAGGCCGATGTCACTTGGGACAGTACCTTTGGGAGGCCCAGGCCAGGCAGGACTTCAGGTTGCTGAGCATGCGCCTGAGCGCCGCGGTCCACTGCTCCTCCGTGTTGAGGTGCGTGCGCACCGAGTAGGGCCCCGTGGGGCCCACGCCGTCCCCCAGCAGCCCCCCCTGCGCGTGCACCGTGTAGGGCACGCGCAGCCCGGAGCGCCCGGCCTCCTGCTGGAACTGCTGCAGGCAATCCAGGAAGGCCAGCATGGCGCGGTCGAACTTGTTGTCCAGGAAGACGTTGTCCCTCCCTTCAGAGGCCAAGGGCAGCTCCTCGCCATCGCCTGTCAGGGACTTCAGGTAGGAGCGGCTCCCGCAGGCCACCAGGCGGTACCGCTGGAACTGCAGCCCGACGGCTTTGGACAGGGCCAGCAGCAGCAGAGCCGCCTGTCCCCAGGCCGCGTTGATCTCGCCCCAGCCCACGGGGACTCCGGGAAGGCGGCCCAACCTGAAGCCGTTGATGACGCCCAAGGGCCCGTCCTCCGAGATCTCAAAGGTGGCTTTGAAGATGTCGGTGGCCCTCAGCGCCCGCGTCTGCAGCTGGGCATAGCTCAGCTGGTTGCCCAGGCTGCTCAGCTGGTCCGATAGCTCCTGCTGCTGCCACTGCAAGGCCCTGAGGTCCCTCACGTGCTGCGCGTCCTGCTGGGTCAGCTCGGCATTCTCGGCCTGGGCTATGGTCAGGTGGGCCGCGACCTTGGCGTGGCTCCGGTCCAGGTTCCCCAGCTCCCGGACCAGCCTGGCCTCCTCCAGCATCAGGCCCCACAGCTCGGACTGCAGGGCCGCCCCCTCGGCCTCGCTCCCCTGTGGCCCGAGCTCCAGGCAGCGCCTGTAGGTCTGGCAGTCGAGTTGGGCCTGTGCCAGCTGCCTGTCCAGCTGCTCCAGGAGGCAGTCGGTGCACTCCGTACACAGGGCACGGTCCACGCCCTCCAGGTCGGAGATGACGTCGAAAATGTGGGCATGGGTCTTCTGGATGTGGCCCAGAGTTTTCTTGGAGGGGAACCTGCCCACCAGCGTGAAGTGGGCTGCACTTGGCTGCATCATCCTACCGTCCGTGGGCTCACGGGGGCTGCTGGGGGCACCTGCCGGGGGCCCTCCACTAGCTTCCGGCTCGGTGGAGCTGCCACTGTCTGCCTCGGTGCCTCCTGGCTCCTCCTGCGCCGAGCAGACCGTCCCCGAGCTCTGTCTGAGCTTCAGGGGCTGTTGGCAGTGCTGGCACAGGAACCGCGTGGAGAACATCCTGCAGTTCTCGCTCCTGGAGCTGGGTCTCCGCGGCTTCCTGGCTGCCTACTGGACCCCTTTTAAACTCTTTCTAGGACAGTGATTCTCTTAAAATGCATATCTCATAGCCGGGCGTGGTGGCCCACGCCTGTAATCCCAGCACTTAGGAGGCTGAGGCAGGAGGATTGCTGTTAGTTCAAGGCCAACCTGGACTACACAGCAAGACCCTGTCTCAAAAAACCAGAAAAAATAAAATAAAATGCATATCTCATCTTGGAACTCCCGTCCTTACAACCCTTCCACGGTGCCCTCCTGGTTACCTGGAGACCCCTTGAGCTCCTAATAGACCAATGATTGTTTCTAGAAGGAAAATCTGATAATCTCACTTCCCTCCTGCCACACATAATCTTCATAGAACTCAGCCTGTCCCTCCTTAAAGTGTTTAATTCCCTTTTAAAATAAAGGCTAGCTGGGTGTGGTGATGCACGCCTGTAATCCCAGCACTCGGCAGGCTGAGGCAGGAGGATCACCAGGAGTTCAAGGCCAACCTGGGCTACATAGGGAGACTGTCTCAAAAGCCAAAAAAAATTTTTTGGGAGGTATGTATTTTACCATCAGCTCAGTCACCGAGCAAAAAGATATGCTGCCTTCTAATTACCAGGAGGGATTAACATATTCCTCAAAACACATAAACAAAAACCCTAATAAATATGACTCCCGAGCCAGGCATGGTGGCTCACACCTGTAATCCCACACTGGGAGGCCAGGTTTAAGGCCAGCCTGAGCAACATAGTAGTTCAGGGTCACCTGGACTACATAGCAAAACACAAAAAAAGAAGTGTGGTGGTTCATGTCTATACTGTAACTCCAGCACTCTAGGAGGCTGAGGCAGGAGGATTCAAAGTTTGAGCCTAGCCTGGGTAGCTTAGTGTGATCATATCTCAAAATAAAAATAAATAAAGGGGCTGGGGATGTAGTTCAGTGTGAAGGCCCTGGGTTCAATCCCTAGCACTGAAGTAATTATTTTAAAAAACATTGATTTCCATCAATCAACCACCCAGGAAATTATATATTTTGGCCATCATATATTTTGCTCTAAAACAAAAACCTAGTTTTGTAAAGGGAGAGAGGAAGAAGGATTGAAAGGAAAGGAGAGGAATAGGAAAAAATGAATTAAGATATATTATGTGTACCTACAAATTCCCTATGATGAGTATGATCATTGTGTATGTCAAAAATGTACCAATAAAATTAATATAAAACACAACAACAAAAACAAAAACCTGCTGGCCACAGTGGCACATGCCTGTAATCCCAGCATTCAGAAGGCTGAGGCAGGAGGATCTCTGTGAGTTGAAGGTCATCCTGGCTATGCAGTGAGACCCTGTCTCAAAAAACAGAAACAAAGGCAAAACAGAATCTGCCATGAGCCCTTCCTCCCTGGCAGCCTGGGCAGAAAGGCAATCCTTTCCCATCTCTGGAGATTCCCCGCAGATTCCTGCTTCCTCCCTCTGAGATCTCATCCTTGGGGGCTGAGCGGGATCCCTCTACTGCCCAGACTGGCCTCAAACTTGGGCCTTGGCCTCCAGAGCTGCTGGGATGGCCTGCATCCCTGCAGCTATGCTTTTATTTTTGAGATAGGATCTTGCTAAATTGCCCAGGCTGGGCTCAAACTTCTGACCCTTTTGCCTCAGTCTCCCAAGTTGCTAGGGTTATAAGTGTGCACCACTGCACCCCTCTAGACAAATAGGATCCTTCGACAATGTCCTTGGGTTCCTTCGCTGCAGAACTCTGGGGGAACATCGAGATAAGGTCTTGCTATGTAGCCCAGGCTGGCCTCGAACTTGCAGCAATCCTCGCCTCGGCCTGCATGCTGGGGTTACAGGTGTGCACCTCCATCCCCGGCCTGGGATCTTCTCTTATCAAGGTCACAAATGACACACTTAATCTCAGTGGAATACGAAGCAATGTCTTCAACTGAAAGTGAGGATGGGGAAGGAGAACTGTGTGACTGTCACCTGGCGCATGAGAGGACCAGAGGAGCAGGATGCTTTCAGGCCAGCCGGACACGCTGTCCAGAGGGGTCGAGTCCCTCCCCAGCCACAGGGAGCTGCAGGACTGTTGTTCAGCAAGCAAGCCTCAGCCACAGAGATGAGCAGGGGAGGCCAGGGAGGCTGGCGGAAGACAGCATTAGAGAAAGGAGCCTGCCATGCAGAGGCAGGCTCTGCGCCGGTCCATTTAGGTCAAATCCACAGGGACAGGGGTGGAAAAGAAGTCTCAGGAGCTGGGGCGAAGAGGGAAAGGGGAGTGAGTGTTTCTTCTGTGTGGAGTTTCAGTTTGGAAAGTGAAAGAGTTCTGGAAAGCCAGGTGTGGTGCCGCTCACCTGTGGTGCCAGCACTCAGGAGGATGAGGATGTAGTTCAGTGTGAAGGCCTTGGGCTCCAACCCCAGGACTGAGAGAGAGAGAGAGAGACAGAGAGAGAGACAGAAAGAGAGAGACAGAGAGACAGACAGACAGAGACAGAGAGACAGAGAGAGAGAGAAGAAAGGCCTGGAGACAGATGCTGATGACTGTAGTGATGGCAGCACAACACTGTGTTTATTGTAAGGCACAGATCAGTGTACTTAAAAATGGTTCAAATGGGCCGGGCCCGTGGTGGTGCACGCCTATAATCCCAGCACTCAGGAGTATCCCTGTGAGTTTGAGGCCAGCCTGAACTACATAGCAAGACCCGGTCTCAAAACAAACAAACAAACAAACAAAAATGTTTCAAATGGTAAATCTCACATGGGCCTATCTTATCACAGCTGGAAAACACTAGACCACACCGGAAAGCTCAAGGCTGCACAGCCTGCCCGCCTGAAGTCCACCATTTTCCCCGAATCTTGTGGCTTCTCAGGCCCAGTGTCTGAGGCAGGACTTCCACTGCTGGATGGACAGAAGGACAGATGGACAGCATTGCTCCTGAGGACTGGGCACCTGGCTTCAGGTTCCACAGTCCATGTAAAAACAGTTCAGAGGATTTCAAGCTTTGTTCCCTTGTTTTGCTTCCGCCTAACCAGGGGTGCTTTCAGGTTTCCCAAGCCAGCAAGGCAGCAGGTGAGCTCCGTGGTCAGTCTGGAGTGATAATAGTTTTTTTGAGACAAACTATTAAGGGACCCAAGATCCTGACTTTCTGTCGCAGCTCTGGTGTCAAGTCAGGAAGTCATTTACACTCACAGTGGGTTCGTAGGCCGAGGGCTGGCGACTGAACATCATGCACAATTGCAATCGGAATTGTGGGCGCAACCAGAGTCACAGAGCCCCCCGCCCAGTGTTCAGCAGTGTGTGGTGGGAAGTTGGGGTTCAGTGAAGTAGTTGGAGTCCCCCCTACAAATGCAAGGGAAGCCAACACTTCTTTCTGTTGACTCTGCCTTGAAAATAAAGCAGAAGTTTACACAGAGCTACCTGGAGGGGAATTGCACAATAAGAGAGTCTTTATTTGCAAAAGGACTCACAGCATTTCTCCATTTCTTTCTTCCCCTCCTTCTTTTGTGGTACTGAGGATTGGAAACCAGGGCCTTTGAGCTGAGTTACATCCTCAGCCCCCTAGCTCCTCAGCCCTTGCTTTTTTTGAGACAAAGTCTCTCTAAGTTACCCAGGCTGGGCTCAAACTTAGGACCCTCCTGCCACGGCCTCCCAGAGTGCTGAGGTTACAGGTGTGCGCCAGCATGCAGAGCAAGCAAAAGGATTTTATTTTATTTATTTATTTGGTGCCAGGGATCAAACTCTGGTCCTTGCGCTTGTGCAGCAGGCGGCGAAGCAAAAGGATTTTAGATAGATGGATATCAGGATCCCTCAGGTCTTGGAACCTGGGCACAAGTCAGTTTGACATTGAACTTCCTGCTTTGTGTTAAAACACCACACTGGTCCTTGATAAGCTGACCTGCCCTGACCTGCCCTGGAGCAGTGATCCTTTTTTTCTTTTTTCTTTTTTTCAAATTTACAACTCTTTTTTATGGTGCATCATAGTTATATTGAAATATTGATCTCATTTTGATATATCTGTACATGCGTTTAACATACTCTGATTCTTTTCATTCCCCCATCATGCCCCTTTCCCTTCCCTCTCTCATCCCCAATCCCCTCCTTCTTTTCTAATAGTCACCCTTTTACTTTCCGGTTGTCTCTCTTTTTCCTCTCTTCTTTAGATTCCATTTTTGAGGGAAAATATTCAATATTTGATTTTGTGAATTTGACTTAGCCTAACATGATCATCTCCAATTCTATCCATTTTCCTGCAGATGGCATGATTTTATTCTTTTGTATGACTGAATAATATTCCATTGTGTATATATACCACATTTTCTTTATCTATTTGTCTATTTGTTGACAGGCATCTAGTCTGTTTCCTCAGTGTAGCTATTGTGAATTATGCCACATTAAACATGGACATGCGGGTATCTCTATAGTGTCCTGACTTTAATTTTTTCAGGAATATACCATGAAGCGGCATAACTGGATCAAAGGTAGGTCTGTTTTTAATTTTGGGGGGAACCGCTATACTAATTTCCATAGTGGCTGTACTAGTTCCCTTTCACTCACATCCTCACCAGCATTTACTGCTTTTGTTTTTCTTTTTTGTATTCTTGATGATTGCCATTTCGAGGAGAGTGAGATGGAATCTCAATGTAATTTTGACTTGCATTTCTCTGATGGCTGAAGATGCTGAACATTTTGTCATATACTTATTAACCAGTTGTATTTCTTTTGAGAAGTGTCTGTTCAATTCATTTGAGGGGGGGGGTTGGTGTTAAGATTTTTTCGTTCTTTATATATTCTAGATAACAATCTCCTTTCAAAAGAGTAGCTGGCAAAGATTTTCTCCTATCTTATAGATTGTCTCTTCACTCTGGTGATTGGTTCCTTTCCTGTGGAGAAGATTTTAATTTGATGAAATCACATTTTATATTATGATTCTTGCTTTTATTTCCTGTGTGATTGGGTCCTACTCTGGATGCCTGTGCCTATGGGTTCAA